CAAGCCATTCAAAACATTGAGATTTTGGACACATTTTTTCAGAAGAATTATATTGACAAGGATTAGAACTAAGAAAGAAGTTATACAGCACAAGATGTAGAAATTTGCAATCTGAAATAAGCACACAGCATCCTTATGTTCAGAAAAGTGATAATTATATTTTTTATGCAGCGAAATAGCGCATAGTGAATAAAACCACTACTATGACTTTGTGAACGAAAACAAGTTAATAACAACATTTCAATTTATGTACTGGTAAAAAGCCAAGAAAGGCATTCTCTAAAACTAGTTTTCAGATTGGTCAAATCTCAATTCCGCTTGGAAAGATTGACCTTGCAGCTACGATAGAGAAGACTGTAAATATCGAAAGCCCACCGGTAAGACTTTTGAATTTTTGTGTGAACAAAACAAAAATTCTTGGTTTCAGGAAAATCGGTTGGGTGAAGTATGTTTGGCATTACGTTATGTGCCCAACAAGAACAAACTTTCGGTTGTTGTAATGGAATGCAAAAATCTGAAGAAAATGGATGTTTTAGGATTATCAGGTAAGAAATGTCTAACCAGAAAAAATGTCACTTGAAACTCTTCTCACTAATATGCTGTTATGGCAATCCATGACTTGAGCCTTTATTTGTTTCCAGATCCATACGTCAAAATCTACCTGATGTTGCAAAATAAGCGCTTAGAGAAAAAGAAAACGACAATCAAAATGAAGACGTTGAATCCATACTACAATGAATCCTTCAGCTTCGACGTAACGCCAGAAAAGATGCAGGTGAGCTCGTTTCATTGTGTTTGTACCGTTTATAGAAGAATCATTTTTATTGTTTAGAGGGTACATTTGCACGTTACGGTATCTGATTACGATCGAGTCGGCTCAAATGAACGAATAGGGCAGGTAAGCGATCTTTATCTGGTTGACTTGTAAAGCTTTTGACGTAACAAAGCAAAAATTCTGTATTGCAGATGTTGACTTGCATATATGGCACTTGCTTCATGTATTAGAAAAACAAGGAAAGCAGTTTTTGATAGCAATCAAAACCTTTATTTCAAGAGTAGAAGCTCAAGAGCTCATAACTTATTGAAACTTTCTTGCCTTCGGAAACTCCTTGCATTTTCCAAGTTTGGGGATTTAAAAATGCGTTAAGAGAAACGTAAACATCATTGCTATCAGACTTTTTTAAAATCGTGTTGGGTTACATGTATACTTTTCAACTTGTAACAGATTTTCATTGCATCCACTCTGTTCGAAAGCGCTAAACATTATAGTCATGTGTCTGATGTCATAAACGCTGAAAATCACAGTGTCCCAAAAAAAAT